TACTGTTTAACTAGGCAGTAGTTATTCAGAGGCTGTGCTGATGGTGGATTAAGGTCTGACTCATTCACCTCCTCCATCTCCATTTCCTCTGCTCTTGGAACACTTAATTCTTCCTATTTTGAAATCAGAGCACATTGTCACATTCATTCAGTGATTCACTCTTCTAGACACTGGAAGAAAATATGGAAGGAAATTCATATGAAAAACATCTGTCTGAATGAGCTTTATGCTGAACTAAGGTTCTGGTATACTTGAACACTGTGATGTTTAGATCTTCGATCGCATTTGTGTCCTGGCCTTCTCAGGACCTTGGAACTGCATATCTGTGGTTTCCAGAGAGTGTCTCCCAAGCAGATATTTGTTAGGCCCAGGCCTTTTAGCTTCATCAAGCACCTATAGACCATTATCTGGGCTACTTTCAGTAATTTCTAAGACTGGCCTTGTATTGGCTTTCTTCTAGTTCTTTGCTGTAGAAGATGCTGTTTATAAATCTGGAAAAGAGAAAGTGACTATGTTAGCGGAGGCTCAGCAGCCCAAGGACAGAGCTGCCAATCTATCTATCCCCCTACCTAATCAGCCCACACAAACCAGTCTATAGTGACTCACAAGTAGACAGCAGGTACATAAAAGTGCTTACAGAGTAATTGCTGCTGGTGATTCACCCAAGAGAGCCAAGCCAAATGCTGTTGGGGAGAGTCAGTAGGCAGTCTGACCTTGGGGGAAATTCCTTCCTATTCTCCAATATGGCAAATGATCACACAGAATCATGTTCATGGTAATGGTAATACTTTCCCATGTGACCTGACACTAGTTGTGGCAGCTCCTGGTGTCAAGTACCCAAACAGAAGGAGAAAGGAAGGATAAGCTGAGGCTAAGCAAATGCTTCCGGACAGTGGGCCACTACTCAATCATTAAAACTGAGAACCATGATTTACTCTTTGTAACTATTCTTTGCTTCCATAACTATCCCAATTTTTTAAATTTGTAGTCACTAAAAATGATATGATTTCCAGCCAACATTTTTAAATCAAAAATTCTGTACAAGGGGAATATCATGGGATGGCTGAGGTCTCCCTCATTATAATGGTCTCAGCCACCCAATTGGCCTCTCTTGAAAATCAGGATATTTTAGAAACATAATTACTTTGCTGTATAACCCTCAAAGCCATCTAGGTTTGTATTTTGTGACCAACAAGGGATGCCTAGAAGCGCCTGAGCCGGAAAAGAGAATGTACATCATAGGCATGACTAGTTGCTTGTTCTCATCATTTGGCACTTGGAGGTATTCTGACTCTGAACACAAAGGCTCTGATTTAAGAACAAACTAAATGAACAGTTAAATGTATCCCCTTCATGTTCAAAGTCAGTACAGGTACATATTCAGTGTCAGTAGCTGGTATAATTGCTTGGGGCCTGAAAAGTCACTGTTGTAGCCTGTTGCCATTGCTTCTGCCAACCTTGAATGTAGGTGCAACAGTGTTTCTGGGTACAAATCAGTCAAATGCTTGTCAGGTTCACCAGAGGTGTAAACCAAAAATGCTAAACTGTGAGGAAAGTGAAGAGTACACAAATTATCTTTAGAATTATCATAAAGGATCTATACTTTTGCAGCAGCTATCATACATTTTTATATCTGAGATCATCATTTGTATCTCCTGGGATTTCGATTCTCTAGGGCAGTGATGGCGAACCTTTTAGAGACTGAGTGCCCAAACTGCGACCCAAAACCCACTTATTTATCGCAAAGAGCCAACACGGCAATTTAACCTGAATACTGAGGTTTTACTTGAGAAAAAACAACTCATATATTAACTTAAGATGATCCAAACAAAGTAAGGAAAGCAATCCCAAATGCTTTCATTTACGTAAAATTATTTGGCAGAAAATTTGACACTTTAATGATGGTCTGGGCCTGGCTGGGGCGATGGCACACGTGCCCACAGAGAGGGCTCTGAGTACCACCTCTGGCACCCGTGCCATAGGTTCGCCACCACTGCTCTAGGGGAAATGAATGTACTAATTTATAAAAAAATTATTTCAAGTATTTTGCAAGTCAGAAATTACTCCACTCTCTGAGCTACTGCAGAGCTTTGCATAACTGGGCTAGGAAAAGAAATCTGGTAAAATGCTCAGTTATAACCAATGTTCCCTCTAAACTGTGGAGTGAGAAAAAATTCTACTTTGTGAGCTACCGGCATTAAAGTTGTGAGTGAGCAAATAGGCTGCTGCATAAATTAGTTTGCTCTGGAGCCCTCCTTCCTGAGCTAAGACAAAAATGTGTGAGCCGGAGGCTAAAAAACTGTGAGCCAGCTCACACTAACTCAGCTTAGAGGGAACACTGGTTATAACTGTATTATAGTAGCTGAATTCCAGTCTCATTCTGACTGCAGTGTGGCGAACCATGATATGCAGTTATATCTCTTTTGATGGTATAATTTGACTTATGGCTAGGGTTGTCAAAGCTTCTGCTATGGTGAGAGACCTTCTGTTGGCAGCTTCCACTGTCTGTCACCACTCTGCTAGGTGGCAGGAGAAAAATAAATTTTAAAATTACCATTGGTACAATAGATTCAGGTGGGGTGAGTCCAGTGGCACCTTTAAGACCAACAAAGTTTAATTCACGGTATAAGCTTTTGTGTGCAAGTGCACTTCCTGAGATACAGTGGAATAGAATCTCCTCAACCATTACTTATAGGGGGTGGGGCAGGCTCATAGCTACAGTGGGGTATCTCGGGGCTAGGCCCCCTGCCTTACTGGCAAGGCCCCACGACTTCCCATCCACCCCAGGGCCCCCAAGCGGTGGCAAGTGCAGGGAAGAAGCCGGGTATTCCTTTAATTTGATTAGCCAGTGCCCCCTAAGAAATTTAAATGCCTCCCCGACGTTAAAAATCCTGACTACGGGCGTGGGGTGGGGGTTGTTGTCAGGAAGGGCCATTTAGAGTCAATATGCATAAGTACTGGGTGATTATAGCTGAGATTGGATGTAAGAAATATCTGTGAATGGCAGTAAATTGGCATACAAATACAAGAGTTAACAAACACACGTAGGAATTAGGTTTGAGTCCAGTTGCACATACAAGACAAATAAAGTTCAATTCTGGGTACAAGCGAGAACTGGGAGCCTTAGTATGTACACTCTT